CAACATAACTTCGCAAAATCACACGGAGAATAATAGCTTTGCAATGAACAATCTACAGAGTGATTTGATGTCATTTTCCTGGCAAGTTGCCAAAGGAATGGTGAGCTCTTCTCTTTCTGAAATATTGCATTTGATGTTTAAAAGAGGATTTCCCGATAGTATTATATTGTATTATCTCTCAGGAGTACTTGGCATCAAAACGTATTGTCCATCGTGATCTCGCTGCTCGTAACATACTTATAGCAAATGGAAACTTGGTCAAAGTTGCTGATTTTGGACTGTCCCGACAAACCGCATACAATGAGCAAATCTACCAGGCGCAAGGACGACGCAAGTTGCCGATAAAATGGATGTCACCGGAAGCCATTTTCGAACAGACTTTCACAACAAAAAGTGATGTGTAAGATTATAAATTATATTCTGTATATTCCGTAATATTGCTGAAAATCTACCGTATTCTCTGGTGAATCCGATATTTATTTCAGGGGGTGTAAAATAAAAAAAAAATTGCACACCAACAAAATGGACACAAATGAGACAAAATAAGTTGGAATATTAAAGGTGTTCAATTTCAGATGTGCTGCAGGTTTTCCCCTCGCACCGACGTCATTTATTTTGTGTACGAACCAATGGTAGTTTAAATATCGTATCATACACGATAAATGTACGAATCGAGCTACGGTTAATATAACATTTGACTAGATTCGGCAACCAAGACGATATCTTGGCGTATACCAATGGAAAAATAAGGTTTTAAATTTGATGCAAATGTTATATATGTAAGCGTATTTGTGTACTTTTGATGTAAATCATTTACAGCAAATTTACAACAAATTTACAATTAACTCAAATTCACTTCATTTTGGACACTTACATAATATTTACATCAAATTACAACCTTTTAAAGTGCGTAATTGTTTTTTCCTCTGTACTACTATAACGCTTGAAATCTTTGTTTTACAGATGGTCTTATGGGATAGTTCTTTGGGAGATATACTCATTGGGTAAGTGTGTATTCAGTTTCCATGTTCAGTAAGTTTTGAACTCCAAACACGTTTTTGAAAGCAAAGCAAAGCAAAGCAAAATGATGAATAATCAATTTAATTTATATGTATTGTATAAAGTTTTTTTGTTTTTTGACAT